CCTGCTCGAATATACCTTTAAAACGAACCCACAAAGTTTACTGGCAAAAGCGACAAACTTGTTGAAAGTGGCAGTTATGATAAAAATTTTCAAAGGTTTTTCACAAAATAAGTCACGATAATATACAGTTTACAAGTGAAAAGAGTTTGTAGAAAGGAACCATGACGTCCCATAGTCGAGACGTCAGCTTTTTAACTCTTTACCGTTATGTCAATTTTTATGGCACATTTGCATTTAAACGAGCTCTTCGCTCATATGCGATATGTGGTTAAATAAAGTTACTTACTTACTTACTTAGTTTATAATGCTTTGCAATATGGAAATTTTCACAAGTACTATAATGTCGGTAGTTTTGGTATTGAACTTTTCAGAAGCTAGTGATTTTATTTCAAATTTAGGGGTAAACATGTTAGCAGTTGTATGGAATATATTCAAAGTTATGAACGTCTATTCATAGAGAAATAAGATATAAAATTAATTACTTCGTGAGAAGGCCACAGTCATTGTGTTAACGTCTCATTGTCACATGGAGTGATGCCCAATTTAGATCAGTTTTCGGTTTTTGCGACAAAAAACTTCGGTTTTTCGGTATTGCTGTTCATTTCGTTTTGCGAATTTTACGTGTTTTAGCATTTGGTTTTCTTCAAAAATGCGAGCGAATTTTCAGAATTTATTTCCGGTTTGTCTTCTGAGCGGCTCGACTGATCTCGAACAGCCGCGAAACGCAAATGTTATTAAGAGGAATCCGTGACAAACCAAATGTCGCTGAAATAACTTCTCGTTGGTGAAATATTGTAGCGATCCGTAGGAGGTCACGCGTTGTGAATAGCGCTCAAGACCGACCTTGCAATGTGGAGCACTTAGGTCGATCAGTTTGCGAACTATGGCTTTCAACGTGCTTCGCGCACCGGCAACGGATAAAACTAAAGGACCTTGCATTGATGAATTTGATTAAAAATTCGCCAAAATCGTCGAATCCAAGAACATTCACTCGGTTTGACGAGATTTCTTCAGATTGTCAAATCTGCCATTTTCGTTACTGCGACGTAAGAGAGCATGTTAAAGTTATCGAACCTTGTTTCCTAGGCAACAAAAGAACCAGTAAGAAAAGAAAGTCTTACTTCCAACTCTCTCTTGAGGTTGATGGTGCTCTCATTGAGTGCGTCTGCTGCTGCAGGGGTTTGGGAAATGTTTGAGGGAGCCTGGGGTACATATGAGGGAGCTGATGATGGAGCTGGCATACTTGATGATGGTGTCTCTGGGCTTGATGGTGGCTTTTTTAAATGGATGAGGTAAAGTAGAAAAAATCATCATGAATAGTAATGTGCCAATCTAGGATTTTGACAAAAGGCAGGGCCCACATGAACCTGTCACTTTTGTACCTTGGGGTGGAAAAAAATTCCTGGCTGGTACTAGAAGTAGCCTCTTGAAATTATTTAACTGATATATTAAATTAAGTTAAATGTGGCTTAGGCACATCACACAAACTTGAAAAGAGGAACAACAATAACAAGGCAATCTTTAACTCATGGAAAAAAAACAATGCGAAAACAGATAGCTTGACTAATGACCTGTACTATGTAGAATGCAAAGTTAATCACATCGTACAGTAACATGGCCTTTTTAATTTGACTAATCATAGTAAAAAGAGGTCTCTTCTATCCAACAGGTTTAATTAACACCTTTGTATATATGGACATTTTTGAACATTTGAAAGGTTCATGTACCTTAGTTGGTTGAGTCATGGGTGTAAGACCTGCAGCATAATCAGGTGTGCTTGGCTCTGGAGGTTTGGTATTGTCAAGTTTCTTCTGTTTTGCCTCCTCTGCTTGTTCAGACTCTATTGTAAATAACACCATATAAAAGAATCACTTTTAAACTCTGTTGATGATAATAACTCTAACACACAGAAAAACTGAAAAACAAAAGGAAAATCTTATTTAAAGATTGGTTCATCATCAAGCAACCTATACATCAGCAAAACATTTAGCCTCAAACCTGATACATATACTGTCCAATTTAAATCATTAAGCTGAGTTTAAGACAATGAAATTCTACATTAAAGTAGGGAGTTGAATAATGCTTTGCCCTCTTGACTTTTCTGACAAAACTTTAAAAGTGACCAGTTGCAGGGTAACTGTGTGAGTGCTTTTGTTACCTGCCAATTTCTTTCTCCTTTTGAGTTCTCTACCACCTCCTATTGGCTGCTCATTTATGTCCAAAAGCTGTGGGCATAAAGAGAATTCTCACACAGCTTGTTTTCAATATATCTCCCTAATATTTTGACTGTTGTAACATGCACATATAGCCACAAGATCTTCAGTTCAGACTTCAGCAATGTTTTTGTTTTTAGCATAAATGGGGAATTGTAATCATGTAACCATTGCAGAAGACTGCATTATCTAATACAATACACAATAATTATGAAAATTCAACCTTCTAAAGAAAGATTTTAAAGAAGAAAGATTATCATAGTTGTCTATTCTAAAGCAGTAGTAAAAAGTATATAGCCTGTAAAAAATGTTCAAGCTAGAGTGGCATGAGTATTGCGCAGTGCTGATACAGTTCTTTGCTAAAGTGAAAACCACATTTCTTTTCTACACATTCAAATACCAACAATTTTTCTTTAGTTGAAAAACTTTAACTCTTATAACCAAGGTTGGTAACTAAAGGTTTCGATGATAGCAGTTAAAATCAGTTATAACTTGTAGCCATTTATAATAGATACCGAAAAAAAGCAGAATGGTATCTTCAAGATAACAGCCAGTGAGTGTTAATGAACATGTACAATGGAGACATTCACCTTTGTACGGCCATGATGTTTGAGTGTAGCAGCAGAGATAATGCTCCGTGATGAACCAGATGATGGAGTCCCTCTGCTGGGGGTTGGACGGCTTGATGTTCTTGGTGTTACTCTTACTATTGTTGAGAGGAGACATTCTTTGATCAATATAGGTAACATTTAATACACCTAGTCTGTATTGATCGATTTGCATTAATTAATATAGTTATATTTAATGAAATAAAACCAAGACACTCAGTTAACATTTTCACAATAAACAGCATAAATTATGGCTGAAATTATAAATGTTGTTCATATACAGTATTGTTTGTTTGATATTAATTCTGTTACTGACCAGGAGCTTCAAACTTCTTGGGTGACTGAAGTTTGTGGGCTGAGCTCATTGATGCTCCAAGACCTTTTTTATGTGCTGAAACTGCTTCACTGGCTTCACATACAACACAAAAAGAGATTGTTAACATTCATCATTGTTACTCACTAACTGGATCTGTTACTGAACTCAGTGGCATATGGTGCAGACCAAAAGAACAGGAATTATGAGTTTCTAGTTCAGGTAAGTAGATTTGGCTTGAAGAACAGGTGCATAGGCTGAGTCATATGCCTTTGTTACAATACCTAAATAATCATGAGGAGTTACAGTTTGCATCAAGCTCCTTTCCTTCTGAAGGGAAAACCAAGCAACCCTACACTGCCATTGGTAAATTTGATTTCTAAAGAAAACAGATAAAGTGTATCACTTGTCCTTGTCTCTATGACAGATTATCTCCTGGGACCTATAATCCACATCAAAGTATTTTAATCATTACTAGGCCATATCTCCTACACTCTCTATACGAATGCAAGTGACTCTTTTAGACAAGTTAAGGGAAAGGGTTTACAAGAAATTATAATCATTACACTCTCTACATTGTCAATATATGTGTGTGGATATTACTTTGTTAAGAAAAACAAAAACAAATACCTTTCTGTGTAAGTTCTGCTCTTAGGGCAGCAGACTTTGGTTTTCTTCTAAGTGTAAAGTGTTTAGGAAGGGGAGGCTGGTGTCCTACCATGGCAACAAGGGCTGTTCTGTTTAAATATAGACACTCCAGAGGAAGAAGACTAGATCCACTATCTGGGAGACTGGTAACTTAAATAAAAACACCATAAAAAGTAATGGAACAATGGATCCATGTTTTAAGGGGGCACCCTTAGGGTAGGGAGAAAACTCCCCAGGGCAGATTTTTAGATGATAGCTGATAACTATTCAATTTGTTAAAATGATGTATTTAACGAATAGCTTCCATGTTGCTGTACACTTATTTAGTAACTGATCACAGATGACCTCAAACTGTAGTAAGAATGAAAAAGGCCCATAGGGCACAGCTTAGTGTGTCACTGATTTTCTCACAACATTTTGATGTCTTCTGTGATCTTTTACTGAACAGATGCTTGAAATCTTGGAATCTACTTGTTTTATATAATTAAAAAAAAAAACGAAATGATGTTAATGGTGACGTCATATATGCATCTGTCCTCCAATAGATAAGTAAGAACCAATCAAATTGCATGTAGTAGATTCAACTTATTATATAACTGACAATCCCTGTTGAAGGGGCATTTAAAGACAAATCTATATTTAATCAAAATAGCGTATGTACGTGTATTTCAGGAGCTTGAAACATAACTTGTCACAACACCATTACTGACGAGCATGTTGTACAGATGTAAATCTTACCAGTTTTTCTGATTTCTTCTGCCACTTCTGCAAACACTGGGCTAACATGCTCGAGATGAACATTCAGAATCCCTGTACTTGGATAATACTTCAGAATCTCTGATAAAACACGGACCCACTCGTCTTCATCCTGGCTTCCAATCTCAAATATTTCGCTCATTTCACCGCTCATTTCCTCAATCACTCGACGAGGAAGATGGAGAAAAGCCATTAATAATTTTACTTTTACCTGCGTTTCAAGCCTATGAAAACACTCTGGAATATTACGGAGGACGTCTTGGGTTAGTAAAGATCGCAAACTACTACCAGACCAAGAATCGTCCGTAGATAATTTGTTATGAAGCCACAGGGCTGTGTCTGCCTGACGAACAGACGCCATGTTGAATATCGGCAAAGCATTACAGAGAGGGAGGGGACTCGGGAATACTGATAAAAAAGGGGAGGTTTCTAAGCAAGTTGTGTGCCCAGTAAGTTCCGTGTTCTTGATGACTAGTGGTGAGCTAAGTATGTAAGGTGCAGGTGGAACAACAGACAGCGCCTATGGCCACAATTTGACATGATTTTGAACAAATTTTAATACCTCTTCTTCTAGTTAACCTTTGTTGTCAGCATAAGGGAAGGAAACTCACCCTCAATGCCTCTAGGAGGAGTCAAGGATCGCTTATTGGTAAGTAAACCAAGGAGCCCGTACATATATATGACTAATATGTGGTAGTATCGATCTCTTCCTGCCTTATCAAGGGATGATAGTGTGTTGCCGGTGTTTGTTTACGGTAGGGAGAGAAATTTATATGCATTAAAATAACCCTCAGGTTTATCTCAGGGAAAAATGGAGCGTCGCTAAACCAAAGAATTGAGCAGAACTGTCGTTGCTTCTGTAAGGAACTAATGGCCCAGCTAACTTTTTTTATTTGTGGATTAAAATTTATCAGTTATTTTAACTTAAGACGTGTAGCAATGCATGATCAGAACACACAAATGTTACTCTTTCAAGCACTAGATGCGAGCCTAATTCACGAAACATCAATGTGTACGTAACACCTCTTAACACTGGAGTATTCACTTTTAAATTCGTTTTTTGTAAAGCCATTCGTTTGTTTCGCTTTCGTTGTTCATAATAAAGTTGTTCTTTAAGGTTAAGCTGTCGTCCTTGAAGTGCATTCATGTATATAGACGATATAAAATGGTTTTCGGTGGTCGCTCAAATGCATGTGTCAGAAAAATAAATAATTAAAGTGACCACAATAATCGGCCGAATGTGGTGAGTTCCAATTAACTCTTGGAACACCAGCTATATGCTTGGTATTTCTTTATCTTTTTACATAGAGAAATATAACTTTTTCACGACCAAAAGAAATTATTTTTTAAACCAAAATTCCTCTCGTTTTTATCGTGAAAAGGTGGAAACATCTGGAGCAAATTTTGCAGCTACAATAAATTATTGATGAATGACATATTTGTTGGTAGAGCTTATGTAATTCTTGGCAAAACCATCATTTACAGGGTGTATGTTGCAGCATGGACTTTTATACCTTATGCTTATCTCCTGAAAATTACAATAGTGACTCAAAATGTATTTTTACAGCTCTCTTATTGTTAACTCCTTGCTGCTGAGTGAACAGAATTATAGAGTTTACTTTCATGTAAATTAAAAAAACAAAGTTATTAGCATGGAATACATATTCCTGAATAACTTTCTTTTATTATGCTAACTTACAAGTGTCAGAAAAAATATAATTATATGGACTGAAAACAAAATGAAATTGAACATCAAATGTGAATTCTATATGACAGGTTGAATAATCTTTATTATTAAGGTTAGACAGTACTTTTTCCTTTGCAATTCAGAACAAATCTGATGTAAGGTTAGCTTAACATAAGTAGAAGTTTTCACAACTCAGTTCAAATTGTGCTGTAAATTACTAATTTGATATACAGTTGGATGTGATGGTAGTTTCTGGATTTGAAAGTTTTGGACTTGGGAGAATTATATGCATAATGACAGGGGTGAAACTTGTGTTATTGTCTTCAAACTGATATGTGTATACAGCTGTATGCACATGTAAAAGTCTGTCACCAGAAAAAAGAACCAAGAACAAAAAGAGTTAGCTCTTTAGTTTCAATAGGGAATTATTTTTAGCTTTCGAGAATAATTGCATAATCCTTAGATAGACACATTCTGGAAGGTAGGAGAGGTACTTACTGGTTTTGAAAATCCAGTTAGAAAGGGATGGGGGTTGTGATTGTAACAGTTTTCTTCAGGGGTTATTCAAACCATTTACATACCTTCTGCTGGGATCAGGGGTGTCAAAAAAGGACCTCAATCCCCTTATGAGGAACTTGGAGTTTTCTTTTTGCTAACCAGATAACAAATAAAGGACACCTTTTCTTTGGTTTACGGTCAACTCGCCGA